TCTTCTTCTTCAGGAGCGCAACAGCCCTTTGCAGGCCTTGGCTGCCTCAACAGCACGCCTTCTCCAGCTCCCTCTGTCCATGGCAACTCCCCTCCAGTTCTTAAGTTTTAGGACTTTGAGGTCGTTTTCGGTGTCGTTGAGCCATCGAGTAGGTGGTCTACCTCTAGAGCGGGACCCCTGAGGGTTCTTGAAGGTGGCAATTTTTACAGGGCTATCTTCAGAGCCTCTCCATATATGGCCGAGCCATCTTAGTCGGTTGCTTCGGATTATCTGCATAATTTGAGGATGTTGTAATGACTAACATTTCCCTTTTTTCATGAGACGTCATACATCGCAGAGAAAACCTTACGTCACGTTCCCTGAGAATTAAATTCGAACACACTGATTTTGGATTTGAAAGAGCTGCCAATCTTGAAAAAAGCTGAAATAAAGAGTGTCTCAGATTTTCCTGCTTCGCCACTCTGCCATGACACACAAGTGTATAGAAGAGTGAAAAACTTGAGAATGCTTTTTGTAATGTTCAATTAAATTTATACACTGAACACAAGTCTTATGAAAACCCGACCAACACTTTGTTTTTATTTTTATTCCAGCCAGCCTCCGCCTTTTTATAAGTAGACAGCGCAGACTATTTAAAAAGTGAACCAGTCTCATTTAATTGCGCAATTAATATATTGTACGGCGGTTGGCAAGTAAATAAAACAAAACCATCCTATTAAGCAGATTTTAAGACCTATACATATTTCCTATTACTTTTTTATTCTTTCTTTCTAAACTGGTTTGCTTGATTAATGGTCTGATCGGACTACCTATGGAGGGTTAATTGAATGTAAACAATAACAAGTTTCCTAAAACCGGAAAAAATTTAGAAAACTTCGGGTGTATCCCTCCGCTTATATTATATGCTTACGAGGCGATGTGTGAACAGGCTTAATATTCAAGGAAGTTTTACTATCGTGATTTGTGTTTAAATTGACGCATAATTTTACCACTCATAAGAGTTTTCTGTAATTTATAAATTCTAACTGACTGTGAGCATAATTTTTTTTTGAAGTTATACTTCTTATGCGACTTCCAACAAGGTTGCGTTAAACGTTTAACGCTACATTTTTATTGGCCGCGAAATCATGTGGTAGGATCCAGTTTTCCCTCATTCATTTCCATATTGTTTTGGTTTTCACTAGCATAAAAATAATAAAAGTCATAAAAGTATTGTTTTTCTATAAATATTTTAGTTTGATTTGTTACACATATAATTTAATAGGGTAGTATTTTTTATTTTCAAATTTAGTGGATAACAATTGTAAATAATGAGTGAAAACAATCCCACGGACAACGCGACGAACTTAAGGTTATGTCAAGGTAGGTCTCTTGTGAATATCAATTGATTGTTAGGTTTTCTCTTCTGAAATTACATTATGACGCATTCACATACATCATTAATTCAAATACATTTTCCAGGGCGAGACGATGAGGCAACCACAAGCACTTCCACTGGTTCAAGAGGGAAAAATGCATAATATTACCGTTATTACAGAGCACGGAAGCGAGCGGAGCAGGAAAAAGAGTCGTTGAATAGAACTAGTGATCCTTCTACGACTGCTGATTCTTCTACAATTAACGTCGCAGGTTACGAAGTTTAACTACTTCCGCTCGGAGAGACTCCATGCACTATTTTTTTTTTATCACAACATAAAGTGTAAAGTTTATCATGTTTTGAGTGTTATCCCTTATTTGGCTATATTGGTGTAAATATCACAGTTTGTTATTTTTTAGGTAGCATCTTGCAGGCCATAGCATGCTTGCGGCGTCTTCCGAATTCATTTGTTGTTTATTTCGTTGAAATTTAAATTGAAAAGATGCGTTATATTGTAAACACTACAAGTATAATAATATTGGATGGTGCGCTTTCTCACGCTTAGGCATAGAAATGAATCGGAAGTAGTATCCCAGAAGCCTTTCGATGAATTTTAACCTCTGGCGCCATCTGTGCTTAGCTTTACACGGTCAACCATCTATAAGAAACCGAGACTTTATTGAAGATGAATTTATTGAAGCTATCAATCTACATCTTTTTGAAAAAAGAACGAGTTTCCGAAATGGGAAGAATGGTATTTAAAAGTGAAAAAAATTTTAAACTTCGAATCCAAAACTAATCAAAAAGCAATAAAAAATTTAAATTACCGTGATATATTTCCAGTATAAAGAAGATTAGTGAGGGTCATAAATGACATAACATGACCAAACGATTGATTGATTTCTCTAACTTCCAACTCGGTAATACTGGTACTACCAAACATGCAGCAACGAAAGATCGCATTGCATTTGTCTGTCAGTAATTCAATAATTTCTACGGGTCCGCCATCCTTGGATCTCAGGTATTCGATGGTCTCTTGAATCGAAGAGTACATCGATTCTGCCACGTGATTGTTGATGGTAGTCATTCCCGTCTCTCTGAAATGCTGCAGAGTAAACTTTCTCAGAACCCTCCATGCTTCTCCATTAATTACTCCAACTCCTTAAAAAGAAACAATAATTAGGCAAATTTTTCTTCCATGTCCAATGGCTGTTGCATATTTTAATTTATCACTTTTCTCTATATACGAGGGCCGTCGGAAAATGAAAACCAAACGTAAGAAAATTTTCATGAAGCCAATTTATTTTTTGATTCTACATACGTTTCTCTTTTTCTTTTCTTTTTCAAAATAGTTGCCAGAGCCGCGATGGCTCAGGGGATAGAGCATTCGCCTTTCAATGAGGCGAACCGGGTTCGAATCCAATCCCAGTCGATACGAATTCCGCATCCGGCTTGCACCGACCACAATGCTGACGTAAAAGATCCTCAGTGATAAACGGATCATGGGTTAGAGTCTCCTTGTCGTCAGGCTAACAGTGGGAGGTTCGTGTGGTCTTCCTCTCCGTGTAACGCAAATGCGGGTTAGCTCCATCAGAAAGTTCGCCACGAAGGCAAAATTTCTCCCAATACTCGATCCAGGAGTTCCCTTGTCTTCTGGATTGGGTTCAAAATTACAAGGCTACGGAGTTGAACATTAGTAGTCGTAAACCCATAAAATTGGATCGGCTCTTCAACGACGGTTATAAAATATAAAATAAAATAGTTGTCAAGTTTGCTGCAACACTTATCATACCTTACAACTAGATTTAGAATACCCTCTTCATAGTAACTCGCCGTCTGCACCGATAACCAGGAGGTCTCGACCGTTGTCACGCATTCGTTGTACTGGTTGCCACCCAAATTGATGTTTGCAACATTGGAAAAGATGAAAATAACTGGGCGCAAGATCTGGGCTGTATTGAGAGGTGGTCCAAAACTTCCCAGTTAAAAGAGTTCAATAAAGTTCGGGACTGAGCTGTGGAGAGAGTCATTGTCGCAGAGTAGCAAAATTTCCTGCCAGTAGGAAGCTTTGTACACTTCACAAATCTATTGGTGAATGTATGCAGGTTTTTTGCCGACTGAAAACGCATCACTGACCGTACCTCATACGTAGCGGGTGATTAGTTAAATTTTTAACATTTTAAAGACACAGATCTACACAACTGTAACTGAGCACAGTTGTTCCCAAGGAACGGCAAGACACGACGCAAGCAAACAAAACGGCCCTCGTATATAAAACCAAAAGTATCTTTCTATTTACGTTTGCTAATAACTCGCGAAAACACTGATTTGAATCGGATTTTTTTTTCTCTCTACAGTATACAGAATTTTATGATGTGGCTTGTAAACAATTGCCACTTTTCGTCCTCATTTAGTAGTTGGGGCGCAATATTGAAAACACGAAATTCCATTGTTACAAATTAAACTTTCTTTTTAAACTTTTGAGCGACTAAACCGATTAGCACAGCGCATTTTATTACAGATTACTTATATATTGCATTTTGGGTCATTTTGCGATTTTTTTTTTCATCACTCTATATTGTGTTGTTCGCAAGCAATATTGATTTCATTGTTTCAGCAATGCACTGTTATGGAAACAGCATCATAACAAAAGTTTTTTCTCTTAAAAAAGGGGGACAAAATTTTGAGAAAAATAAAGCTGGCTAAGCTAGCTCATATTTTAATTGTTGATGTAAAAACGCTTGCTAGAAAGAAATGTGCAGTCTAACATAAGTTATTCAAAATTAAAGAAATACTATTCAACCGTCAAAAGTAATTTTAAACATAAATATGTATGCGTATTCTAAATCGTCCAAACGGCATTTCACTTTCAAGATGTTTAGAACTACGAAGTGTATAAAAGTACAAGTAGGGTAAAACACTTATTGGTGGTTCACGGTAATAACATGTCATATCCCAGTAGAGCAGTTGTGCAGTTAATATTACAAGGAAAGGAAAGGAATTCACTTCTCTTCAGAGAAGTACAATTAAAGGTATAGGCAAACTTCTGAAATTTTTTATTTTCATGGGGGAAAGTTCACATCATTTCAAAAAAAAAAAAGTTAAAAGTTTCATTAAATTTTGATGTCATAATTCGTAATCGAAATGGCTTTCTTATATTCGGGGCGATTTAACTTCATTTACCCTTGCTAATAGCTGTAAATAGTTCTACTTAATTACTCATACACAACTATTTTAGTTCATTTTATTTTAAATTAAAATAGACATTTATTATTTTTTAAATTTTACTTTTTTTCAATTTCCTCCTTTTTCTAGCAAAAGAGTAAGGAAAATCTTAGTGCATCAAATATGGCTATTATAAAAACAACAATAAATTCAGTAACAATAAATAATCTCTATTTATTGTTACTTATTTGAGAGACATAAAAAGAAAGTTCTATCAAGTGTAGTGTATCTTTATTTTCATTATACGTAAAGAAAGTACGAAAAAAGTACCTTTGCTTTGTCAAAAGAAGAAAAAAATTCAACCCAAAGTACTTCTATGTTCATTATAAGTAATGAAAATACACGGAAATGGTACTTAATTTTTCGTTACAAGAAGGAAAGTTCAATCAAAACTATTTTTATTTCTGTTATTAGTAAAAAGAGAATAGGAAAAATACCTTTCACTTTCATAAGAATAAAAAAAGTTCAACCAACAGTACTTTTATTTTCGTTGCCAGTTAATAAAGTACGAGGAAACATATCTTTACTTTTGTTACAGGACAGAAAATTAAACCCAAATACTTTTTGTTTTGTTACGAGTAAAAAAAAGCACTAAGAAATGAGCTTTAGTTTGGTTAATAGTAAAAAAAAGTACAGTCGTACCAAAGTCATACAAAACATAAATATTTGAGGGAACGTACCGTCACTAAAAACCCAGTTGAGTACACTAAAATCTGTACATTTTTCAAAATAGTCGGCCTTGTTGAGATGGAGTTCGCGGATGGCTTTGATGCTTCCCAAATGAATGTACAGAGCACCGCAGAATCGGAAGCTGTAGATATCACCATACTTTGCTTGCAGTGTGTGTAAAGTACGATGGCATGTCTCATCTTCGAGGAATGGTGAATAACCAAAAAACGGCCAACCAACAGGACCTGGCGGCAGACATCTAGATTGTTTCTGATAAAAAATGGCAATAATAACCACTATGGTGATTAGAAGTGTAACCGCAGTTCCAGTCTTTATGCCATCAACGTATTCGAACATGTTTGAGCAGAGATGAGACCTAAAAAAAATAAAATCCATAAGGATGAAAAAATGCAAGCCTAATATTCTATATATCTATTCGCGATCGCAACACTCGAAAACGCCATCTGGGGAGAAGACCGGTTCCATGCCTTTGATCCTTCCCTCCCCTCCTCTTTCAGACGATATTTTCCCCTTTCTTAATACTTTTTGTATTTGATTGTCAAAAATTTTTTTTTTAAATTTGCATGAAGCTTTCTTTTAGAACTATGCAGTTTTCATTTCCATATAGTTTCCTAACTTAAAAGATTTTAATCTATTGAAAAATCAAAACAAAAACTTACGTACTTCTTTCTCCTATGATTCTTCACAAGCAAATGGTGAAAGCATGCGAAGTGTTGTCATTGGTATAGAGTTCTGCTCTAAGTCACCTGTAGCCCATTTCGATGGAAGATTCTAATTCAAGCAGGTGGAGGAGGATTTGGAACAGCGGGGTGATGATTTCCAGCCCACACTGTCACAAACATCTTTAAGATATCTCTTGTACACAGAAAAGCTGGATATCTCCAAATACACCAGAGATCTCCAAAATACCCATGAAATATGTGTCAGAAATCCAGAGGTCGCATCTGTGTGAAGTACAACAGATATTGGGACATCTGCTATATATCCAAGGGACATGTAAGTAAACTACCTTCACATCTACAGTTTGAGCAGGCTGATCGGATTTCTCGGCAAAGCCTTCTGTTACGTCATTTTGTAGCTTCTCATTATTATTATTTCTCCGTAATTTGTTCACAAAATGTAAATCATAAGTCAGCTCTAGTATATTTCGTATATTATCTTCAGTCAAAAGAGTAAAGCTGAAAAGAGTAAGAGATAAAGCTTAATAGTTTTTGAAATGAATTAATATTTAACTGACACGAGGAAATATTTGAAATAAATCACAAGTTCTAAGATTTGTATACTTTATTTATGCAGATTTTTTCATTTAATTCTAAAATAAAAGAGGGCGCTATGTGCTAAATAAATATGCTTAAAATTAACAAAAGTCGATTTAAAAAAAAGTTATAGAGACTTATTCTTTGCATAAAGAAATGAAATTTTTTTTAATATATAAATAGAATTAGCTAATAACTATATCAGAACAAACAAAAACTTAAGAATTAAGCAAAGCGTTTTTTAAGGAAGAGTAATATTAAATTACAACAAAGATTTATCAATTTTTGGAGCACATCATGCTTTTGAATTTCAGAATTAAATTTACTATATGTGCAAATTGAACAAAAATTTCGAATTAAAACCCATGCAATTTAGATCCATTATGTGAGAATCTTTGTCCGTAAGGTTTCGAAGTTCTGACATTCCATTTCGTGTATTGTCTGTTTCTAAATTCCTTTACCCATTTGTTCCAATCTTCTAAATTTGGAACATTGCTTCTAAGTATAACAATGTTAGATTAAATAGTTTCTATTTCATTTTTAAATAAAGAAGGCAGGCGAAAAAACTGACATTTCAAGTCTGAAGAAGAAAATAAACTGCAGAAATCGCTCTATACTTAAAATAACAAGCATATCAGATTGAAATAGCCATACGTAACAGAAGGCGTTGCCGAAAAAAATCCTATCAGCGAGCTCAAAATCTCTCTTTACTAACTGTAGATGCAAAGGTAGTTTACATGCACCCACAGGAGACATCTGACAGATATTTTAGACTTATCACAGATATTCATGAGATATCCAGCCCATAACATTGATATTTAAAGGAGTTTTACTAGATACCATTTGTACATACTCTATGGATATTAGAAAGAGATTTTTATTGGCTATTAGAGATATCTTAGTACAAAAACTAAATTTACTGATCTATCATAAAGAGTAAATTTATGCTTTACATCCCATAATTTTATGAATAAAATTACTTCAAGCATTGCTGTTGTTGTTACTTTACGTCGCACTAGAGCTGCACAATGGGCTATTGGCGACGGTCTGGGAAACATCCCGGAGGATGATCCGAAGACATGCCATCACAATTTTGATCCTCTGCGGAAGGGGTGGCACCTCCGCTTCGGTAGCCCGACGACCTTCGCGCGAAGTCGAGCACTTTACGGTAGCACAGTTTAACGAGGACCAATACCGCACACCCTCGGTCCCTACGCAGATTGTTCAAGCATTGCAGAAAGTAGAATATAAATAAATTCATAATATTATAACATTTAATTTTGTAAAACAAATTTATGAAATTCAAATTTTTTGATAACTATTTTAAATTTTCTCAAAAAATTCATAATTTATAAATAAAAAAAATATCGCAGAACTTTGAAAGTTTAAAATAAAAAGTGCTGATGATAAAAACTCTTCATATTGAAAGGAAAATTTTTCATATTAAAAAAATTTTTTTGCGTTAGAAATGTTTTTTTTTTTCTTTCAATTTCTGAAGTTGCTAGTCAATTTCGTGTGCAGAGTAAGTATCAAATTAGTAAATCTTTTTATTTACAAAAAAATATTTTATCGTAATATCAAACAGATCTTTTTATTTACAAAAAAATATTTTATCGTAATATCAAACAGAATTACGTAAATTATATAAGGCTAGACAGTTATTTATGAACATAATCAATTTATTTAATGAATTACAAATTTATGTATAACTGCAATACTTTTTTTATAAGAACTGACTGACTATATGATGTAGAAACAGATTACATCAGTAATAGATAGTAATATCTGTTTAGTGTTTGACATTGTGTATTTAGTAACAAAAAATTTTAGATACATATAAATATGTAACATTATAATTTGCTGCACCTTCTATATGATTAAACATACTTTAGTTGAATAATAATATGCCTATTAATTTAGAAAAATATTTTTAAGGGAAGTATACGATGAATTCTATTTATGAATTTTTAAAACGCTAAGCAAAATGGACATTCAAAAAAATTAAGCAAAATTAAAAGAAAAGTTTTAAAAAATTCCCTGCTCCTGGCAAACTGAGAATCAGGTGAAAGAGAAGGTGGAACCGCAAAGCGATGAATTCCTGCAGTTGTAAGAGAATGTGGAAACGCGGGACGATGAGTTCCTGCATTTTAAGAAGAATGTGAAACAACGGAACGATGAGTTCCTGTAGTTGCAAGAGAATGTAAAACAGCGGAACGATGAGTTCCTGCAGTTGCAAGAGACTGTGGAACCGCGGGACGATGAATTCATGCATTTTAAGGAGAATGAGAAAGAGCAGAGCGATGAATTCTTTCAAGTGAAAGATCATGTGGAACCAAGTAGCGATTAGTTCCGGCAGGTGAAAGAGAATGTAAAACTACGGAATGATGAGTTTCTGCACCTAAAGGAGAATGTGGAACCGCGGAGCAATGAATTACTGCAGGTGAAAGAGAATGTAAAATCGTGGAATGACGAGTTTCTACAGGTAAAAGAGTATGTGAAACCACGGAGCAATGAATTCTTGCAAGTGAAAAAGCATGTGAAACGCCTAGCAATTAGTTTCTGCAGGTAAAAGAGAATGTGAACCAGCGAATGATGGGTTTTCTGCAGGTGAAAGAGAATGTTTTTAGTCAATTTCGTGTGCAGAGTAACTATCAAATTAGTAAATCTTTTTAATTACAAAAAAATATTTCATCATAAAAATCAAACTAAATTACGTAAACAATATAAGGCTAGACAGTTATTTATGAACATAATCAATTTATTCAATGAATTACAAATTTATCTATAACTGCAATACTTTTTTTTATAAGAACTGACTATATAATGTAGAAACAGATTACATCAGTAATAGATTGTAATATCTGTTTAGTGTGTTGACTTTGCGTACTTAGTAACAAATATTTTAGATATAAATATGTAACATTATAATTTGCTGCACCTTCTATATGATTAAACATACTTTTGTTGAATAATAACATGCCTATTAATTTAGAAAAATATTTTTAAGGGAAGTATAAGATGAATTCTATTTATTAATTTTTTAAACGCTAAGCAAAATGGACATTCTAAGAAATTAAGCAAAATTAAAAGAAAAGTTTAAAAAAAATCCCTGCCCCCGGCAAACTGAAAATCAGGTGAAAGAGAAGGTGGAACCACAAAGCGATGAATTCCTGCAGGTTGCGGGTGAAAGAGAATATGAAACAACAGAACGATGAGCTCCTGCAGTTGTAAGAGAATGAGGAAACGCGGGACGATGAGTTCCTGAATTTTAAGAAGAATGTGAAGCAACGGAACGATGAGTTCCTGCAGTTGCAAGAGAATGTGGAACTGTGGGACGGTGAGTTCCTGCAGTTGTAAGAGAATGTGAAAACGCGGGACGATGAGTTCCTGCATTTTAAGGAGAATGGGAAACAGCGGAACGATAAATTCCTGCAGTTGCAAGAGACCGTGGAACCGCGGGATGATGAATTCATGCATTTTAAGGAGAATGTAAAACAGCAGAACGATGAGTTCCTGCAGTTGTAAGAGACTGTGGAACCGCGGGACGATGAGTTCCTGCATTTTAAGTAGAATGAGAAACAGCGGAGCGATGAATTCCTTCAAGTGAAAGATCATGCGGAACCAAGTAGGGATTAGATCCGGCCGGTGAAAGAGAATGTGGAACTACGGAATGATGAGTTTCTGCAGGTAAAGGAGAATGTGGAACCGCGGAGCAATGAATTACTGCAGGTGAAAGAGTATGTAAAACCGTGGAATGATGAGTTTCTGCAGGTGAAAGAGTATGTGAAACCACGTAGCAATGAATTACTGCAAGTGAAAGAGTATGTGAAGCCGCCTAGCAATTAGTTTCTGCAGGTAAAAGAGAATGTGAACCAGTGGAATGATGTGTTTCTGCAGGTGAAAGAGAATGTGAACCAGCGGAATAATGGGTTTTTGCAGTTGCAAGAGAATGTGGAACTGCGGAGCGATGAGTTCCTGCATTTTATGGAGGATGTAAAAAAACATCGGAATGTGGAGTTCATGCAGTTGAAAGAGAATGTGGAACTACGGGACGATGAGTTCCTGCATTTTCAGGAGAATGTAAAACAGCGGAACGATGAGTTCCTGCAGTTGCAAGAGAATGCGGAACCACGGAGCAATGAGTTCTTGCATTTTAAGGAGAATGTGAAACAGCAGAACGATGACTTCCTACAGTTGCAAGGTAATGTGGAACCGCGGAGCGATGAGTTCCTGCATTTTAAGGAGAATGTGGAACAGCGGAGCAATGAATTCCTACAAGTTGTTGTTGTTGTTAATTTACGTCGTACTAGAGCTGCACAATGGGCTATTGGCGACGGTCTGGGAAACATCCCGGAGGATGATCCAAAGACATACCATCACAATTTTGATCCTCTGCGGAGGGGATGGCACCCCCGCTTCGGTAGCCCGACGACCTGCGCGCGAAGTCGAGCACTTTACGGTAGCACAGTTTAACGAGGACCAATACCGCACACCCTCGGTCCCTACGCAGACTGATCCAAGTGGTCACCCACCCGCATACTGACCGCAGCCAATGATGCTTGACTTCGGAGATCTGCTGGGAACCGTGTCTTAACGATCAGTCCACTGCGGGACTCCTACAAGTCAAAGAGCATGCGAAACCACGTAGTGATTAATTTCTGCAGGTGAAAGAGGATATGAAACCTCAAGAAGGGAACCAACTAACGGTATGATAGATAAATTGTAATCGTTGCCATATTTCACATGGTCTAGCCTGGAGCTCAAGAATCTTCAATAACTCAACCAACTTTAAATTTCAAACTTCACTTGATTTTATTCCATTAATGTCTAGATTTCGGAAGATGCGAAGCAGATTTTTCGTCCCTGACTTTTATTTCATTGCAAAACAATGTTTTTGATTTGGAAAATTGATTCAAAGATGAAATTTTTTTAAATAAAATTTTTTTCGTGACCTTATAGTTTTGCGCATGTCGAAACTTCAGAAGGGGAGAAACACTTTGATCTACCTCTCATTACTATTTTGGAAGAAAATATTCTGCCCGGAAAATAGAGTGAATATTGGAAATAAAATAGTATTTTTATACTTTTACTTTACTTTTCCAAATGTCAAAAAGCATATCATTCGCCCATTTAGTTCAATTTCCGAACAAAATAAAGTTTCCTACTTGGTGCATAACTTCCAAGTTGAGAAAGAATAGCCTTTTTTTTTCTCCAAAATTACCAATTTTACTTGACTTAGTCTTGTCGAATAACTAAACTTCAGTATAATTCCAGTGTACCGTCAGAGAGAGTTTTTAGTACTGGGGGCAATGTCGTTCGAAAAAACAGAGCATCTTTATAACACATTCGGAAATGCTGATATTTTTAATTTCAGAATAAAAATTTCATATGAAGTTTCAATTTTGCTACTTATCAAAGTTATTTTTATATGGCTCATNAAAACATACCCAACGCCCCCCTACTGCCCAAAACAAGTTCACCGCCCCTCAGCATATGCTCACCGCCCCCGTTGAGAATCACTGACTTAAACTAACTGATTTTCAAATAATTCATAAACTTTCTTTGATTTCTAGTTAAAAGCTTAGTAAAGTATTTAACTTAAATTAAGACTGCTTATACCTTATAAACGATAAAGAGGTGCAAATATTTCATTCTGTATCTACACACATTTTTTCGATAAATATTTTAAGTAAGATTTGTTCATCGTAGTCAATTTATTTTATATCTTTCTTAAGCAAAACATATATATCTTCAAATTTATAAATTGATTTAAATCAATCTGAGTATGAAGTCTTGATAGAAATCTGACTTTCTGTGCCTAACAAGTAAATGAAATTCAAAAATACTATATCACGATACATCGCTATATCGTCATGCAAAACTGACGATGCATCACGATATATAATTTCTAATATTGCCCAGTCCCTAATATAGTCCCTTCAGATGGGGCCCCCTTGGACATCGGGGCCGTACCCCGACATAGTTACGGCTCTAATGAAAATTACTGTTTACTTTCTTTCAAGCTAGATGTTTCAAAATGAAGTCACAATTTTGCCATTATTTGAAGCTTGAGTTTAGGGAGATTGAAAGTAATTGAGATTTTAATGCCAAAACTTCACAATTGAGCCTTTAGATATAGTTTTAAAATTTATAAAGAAATACAAAAATTTCTAAAAATATACACTTTATTTCAAGATAAACATGAGTATTTCACACTGAATTTTAACAGAACAAATGTCAGAATTTTATTATACAATTTTTTTTCAATCAGTTTTAGATTCATGCCAATTATTCACAGTACAAATTTTTATTTTTAATGTCTTCTTAATGATCACGGTTACAAACTTTCAATAATAACATCTTAAGTGCACAATCCAAACACTTAACATAGTCTAAATATGTGTCCCAGAGCTTTAATGAAATTTTTTCATACATGTCAGAGCAGGGTTATTAGAATTAAGCAAGGCTAAAAAAAAACACAAATTGTTTTTTTCCCCTCGGTTCTAACCACTTAAAAAACGAATTGGTAAAATAAAAAAGCTGGCTTTTATTAAATCAAGATATTTTTCAAAAACTGTGATAATATAACAGAATCATAATGCCTTTAATTAATTATGGTGTTATAACTGGATGTTAGGAGAAATATGGAGCATCAGTTTTGCACTTTCAAAACTTGTTAGTTCAAAGAAACAGCTTTAAATTTTAGAGAAGAACAAATAATTTTAAACTACTTTGAACCATAAAAACCAGTTTACCAACTTTACAATCAAATATATTTTTATTATTATCATTTTGTATAAATCTTGCAGTTTTATAGAATATACTTGATAAAAAGATTTAGTACGATTTTTGAAAAATCTTTATTTCACAGAGATTTAAAACTCAGTTGGAATGTGATTGTAATATGTTTAGAGTGAATTTGTTCTGCTTTCAGCTCAATACAGAAATGTAACTTTTTTTTTACAGAACATAAAGTTTGTAAATAAAAACTAAAATTATTCATGCTAACGAAACCCAAATTTTGTTTCAGAAAATTAAAAGTCAAACTTCTGCAACTTAAAGACATGGAAATACCTTTTAAGTCATCGTGATATTACGCAACTTGTAAATTTTTTTTTGGTCACAAAAGCTATAATAGTATATTTCTTTCATATTTGCTTAGACATCAGATACATCATAAAATCACACTAAATTTTAGCTAAATTTTTCAATGGAATAGTAATCAATAAATTGAATTTAGTGAAAAAAATATTAATTAATGCAAAATGCAGAAAATGCCAATCAAGGTCATCGTTTTCATAAGAAAGCTTTTCTTTTTAATAAAAATGAACCAACTTGGATGTTTTGCAAAAGGCTGGCATCTTTGCAACCCTGTACCAGAGGGACTCAAAAATGAAAATATGACACATTGTAAACAAGAAGAAAATCAATAAAATTTTAAGTAGTTTGATAAAATAAAAACTTTTGTTCAATGTTATTATATTCAAGATTTTATGGATTCATGACAAATTAACATGTTTATGAAATGTTGCCATCAGAGGCAAAAAATTTAACAGATAGTGACAATTACTCAAAATCTTGAACAAAATGTTTAATATCCATTTAAATTCATAAATAGACAAAGTGTCAATGTTCAAAAGTCATTAAAATAGGCACACAAAAAATAATTAAATAAATTTTAAACCTTTAAATACTGTCCACTGACAATTGAATTAAAAAAAACTATCTGAATCTAGGTAATAACCATCTAATAAAAACTGTCTCTATTAAAACAGTATCTACAATGCATATAGCAAAAATCTGAATGATTTTTGAATTTATAATTTGAGAGGCCTGTATATGCTAATTAATTTGTGGAAATGATAGTTTTAAGTAACAAAATCAGATAGAAAACGGTAAAATCTCTTAAGAAACATACCTTTTTAAGGCTTTTTTTTTCTTGTCCATTATTTATTTAATTTTTTATTATTCAATTAAATAATGATTGAAAAATTTTTGAACTGTCCAGAATTTATTAGTCCTGAGTACATATTTATGGTATTTCTGTGTACTCATGCCCTGAGGCAGAATTGAGGCAGCATTGCCCGCAGAACGTTACAGAGTTTCTGCAGAAATATTTTTTATTAGGGAAGGGAAAAATTTCAATTTTCATTTTTGCATAATTTTTCGAAAAATATTTTTTCTTTTTCAGCAGGAATTTTTTTTTTAAAGATGTCTTTTTTGCGCATCAGAGAAGAAAAAAGTTATTATAATTTTTCTATTCTCATTTGAGATTTTCAACAAAAAAAAAATCGGCAACGACTGGTTTCACCAAGAATTTCAAATTAATAATATAAAATAAAAAAATTCATAAGTTTAAAAGATAGTTCGCTCTAGAAATGATGTTCTTTTTCCATTTATTTATTTTTTTTCTTTGAAGAACACCACTTATTTGAGCATATCTCTTTTTTAAAGAGCCTATTCGCATGATTTCGTCATCAATCTTTATTTTGGGAGTTACTGCACGCATTTTACGATTTTTAATTCATGTATACATATTTTAATAAATACAGTTGAACCTCAATCTATCATTCCTGCATCTTTCATTTTCTCATAAGCATCAAATGTGTGTGCAATAAAATTCGTATCGTCTTAATAGATTGTTTTTAATACTAGCAAATTCCCCCCGTTATTGTTCAGAAACATTTTTTAAAAAAAGTGAAGCTATTCTATTTTGAGAAGAAAATTCCTGATTCTAATGATGATGAGCATGAAGTTTTGTGACAGTTTGGGGATAATGCTTCAAACTTCCTATTTTAACCTCAAATGCTTTAATTGATGAAAATGCTTTAATGCTTTAATTGATGAAAATGTTGAAACTTGTGGAGTTGACAGTTCATAAAATGCTTGCAGAAAATGAAAAAGTTCATAGTGATACCAACGAAGACAGCGAAAGGGTCCCCTAGCCAACATTTGCAAATTTCCTTGAAGCCTTTACAACTGTATGAAACATTCTGAATTCATGGGAACATGCAGAAAATAAAATATTACAAATCTGAAATCCGCTGAGAAGAAAACAGTGAGTTCAAATAAAAATTTTAAATATTTTAAATAAATAAATTTGTCTATTTGCTTTAAATATTTTTGAAATGAGTACATGATTTTTTCGACAAAATTTTCAATATTTATTATAAATAAGTCAATCACTTTCTTGATTTTTGAGTAAATCAATTTTTTTTCACTCCTAATACATTTTCAGGTCAGTATTTCATACTGATTCACATTTGTCATTTTTTCACAACTATCATTCATAATGAGTGGTCCCACAAAGAAACCATCGATCAAGAATTCACTGTATTTTCAACCCAATAGCTAAAATTCAGTTTTACACACCATAAAATATTTGCAAACAGTGATCCATCAAAGATAAACAATAAAGAAATTTATTCAGGTCCATAGCACAGATGAAACTGAATTATATATATTTTTTAATTTAACTGTTGTAACTGCCGTTGTACATTTTAATTATCATGTTAATCAATTAAATTTTCTACAATCCAATTAAACATTATAATAAAAAACATATTTAACATAAAGCTGTCAAAAAATTTTTTAGGCCCAACATTTATAGGGTTAGAGATTCGTTCCACACATACAGACTTCTCACAAACACATACTTCGTAAGGAATAAAAATCGAGTATCAAATCCTATGGGTTAGCTTTTCGCCAACCGTGTTGAATGTCTTCACATAACTTAACAGGAATGTTTAAACTAGAAACATGATCTTCTGATGATAAACAAACAACAACTGCATCAATGCACAGATCTTGCAATGAGAGAACTGAAGAAAAAAGAAAGCAAATGAATATAACATTAAAAGGGAAACAGTTCAAAATAATATAGTTCTTATAAAATAAACATTTGTTTATAATACGAAAAGACATAGTATGCAGTTGAGATGAAAAATTTTAAAAAATGCAGATTTACGATTGCAATAATTATTTCACAGTGAAAAATTTAGAGCCTTTCTTTGATAGCACCACAGGGAAGATTTCCGTATTGTGATCTGTGACAGAATAATTGCTAAGACTTTAAAACATCACTGAAAGGGATCAACTGGAAAGGTATAACTTGTAGCCACCCCCCGGAGAAACATCTACATGCTTTTTTTTTTAAAAAAAAATTACAAGTTTAAATTCTATTAGGCACCTTGGCGATTGTAGTTGGCATGACAGATCCAGATACGGAAATATCCCCTATTAATGAATGAAATTGGGAAAAAATGCATTTATACTTACGTGGTGATGTTATAACAACGGTGATGGGTAAATTTTCTTCCTTTTCAGGGTCTTCACAAGGAACTGCAGTAGGAATAAACAATTCTTGGTTATTCATTAAAAATTTGCGTCTTGTTGATACTTCCCGACAAATCCAGGGGTGACCTTCGTACGAAAAGATCCTTTTCTGATAGGTCGGTTTCAATACACCATAATTCGTTTCCCTGCCATAATAATCTAACCAAATGATATTGATTATTTTTGAGCTAGCATTGCACATGAATAATGTGACGGGCTTACGAGATGGCCCAGATCTAAATCCAGTTACAACTCTTGCCATTAAAACTCAAGACGATTTCAATTTATCAGTACGATTATGCAAATTTTTTCTAAGCCATCACTCTTAATTTCCTTTTAAACATACACATTTTTATAGAAAAAAGTTAAACAAATATTTGGTAAACGCCAAGTTTTATAGTAAATAAATAAAAAGAACAATCAGTAAGAAATAGTAAAAAAAATTATAAATATACTTGCTCAACTCTATTCAGAAGTCTGCTGTTGGCATTATGACATATTTTAAGAACTAACCATACTCAGTAATTGCAGCTTTTAGCTTATATTTATGTGATTACTCCTTAAGCAAACATGAACCCCTGTTGGATATTTTATAAAACTACATGAAAGGTCTTAGCATTGATTGAAAATAAGCCATATTTTTAAACTTTCTCCAGGACTAATCGACTGACATCGTTCAAATTTAAAATTAGTTTGAAATGGTGTGAAAATTTATATACCTTGAAATTCGAAATCTTTTGCTCCATGCCAAATAAAATAATAAATAAGTATGAAAAATTATTTTTGTATCCCTATCTTTGGCAAAACCGTGAACAGGCGAGATGATGGTATTTCGATATTTTTAGAAAAACAAATAAAATTAAATTTAAAAAAGTTTCATTTACGTACGCAAAAGAATTTTTCATTACATAAAAATCTCACCGAGTACATGCGATATATGTTCTCGTAAAATTTGTGGAATCGAAAGTCCTGTGGTCGGTCGCTGAACAGTACAGGGAACTGAAAAAAATTTCCTTCGTCTTCAGATCTATTTCTTAATTGAGGAAGTGGCCTCATGCAGTTGTATTGTGACGGCATGCCTTCAAATCATCCTCATGGATGTTTCCCAGACCATCGTGAATAGCCCATTGTGCAGCTTTAGTAAGACGTAAATAAAGTACTTGCCAACCTCTTATTTTTTTCCACTGTGGGTCAAACCAAAACATTCTCCCTTCATTAAAAACGAAAAATTGGGGATTATTTTCATTTAGGGGCTTGATGTTATTTATTTAAAATAATATCGAGAGTTCTTTGGTTAATTCTTCGCAACAACCGTGCTTTCTGCTTCCTGTTAGTTCATGTGACATGTGGGTCCCTCAGTTGACTCATAAAGACAGAGTTCCCAGTAAAACATCAAAGTCAAGCATCACTGGCTGCGGTCAGTAATCAGGGAGGGTGACCACTTTGATTAGACTGCGTAGGGACCAAGGGTGCGAGGTGTCGATCCTTGTCAAACTGTTCTACCGTCAAGTGCTCGACTTCGAGCAAGTCGTCGGGCTACTAAAGCAGGGGAGCCACCCTCTCTGTTGAGGATCAAAATTGTGATTTCACGTCTTCGGATCATCCTCAGAGATGTTTCCCAGACTGTCGCCTATGGCCCATAGTGCAGCTCTAGTGCGACGTAAATAAAGTACCTACCTACCTATGAAATTAATTTGGAGCAATTTAATTGTGAAGTTGCTTTCTCTAAAGAAGAAATCTAAATCCACTCCAATATCTCGATTTGTTTGCAATCAATCGGTAATTTTTCCCATGACGGTTTGAATAGGTGAAAAGAGAACTTGACAACTTCGATGCATAAATAGTTTGTCTATGTTCTACAGAGCTTTGTCCTTTCTTCGTGTTAAGAAATATATAGTGAAAGAATATAAAATGTGTCACCTAATAGAATTGATACATGACGTGCTTGGCTAACTCGAAACTGAATGGAAAGAACAGTTGCTAACATAAACAAAAGCTACGTTTCAACAACCAATCAGGAGTGACATACCCACACTACGTCATTTGCAGGTATCTTATTATATACTCACTTAAAATAAATTAATAATTAAATGATTCAACCTGCGTGCTTATGAAAACGAACATTCTCGTTTGATTCCGCTTATTCAAATGACTTTTTAAAAAAGATATTAAAATTCATTTCTTTTTACAAAAGTTATCATAGATCCTATAAATTTATGACAAAATGAACGTTGTATGAATTTATATTTTTTTTCAAAATAACTACTTTAACATTTATGGCACTGAATACGAAGAGATGCTTGAAAAGTTACATCTGTAACACACTTAGCCAAAACCAGCCAGAGGTCCGATAGCTTGCTCCGTGTCAATAAAAATCAATCATTTCAAAACAGTTCTAGCTGAATTTATTGTCTAAAGAAATTTTTATACATCCCGATTTTATTTAATATACACTTAACTAAAAGACAATAAAATGAAGTAAAAGCTTTGAAAACTGCTGGCAGAGTTGAGTGCGTAATGGAAAATGCTAAGCAAGCATAATGAAAAAGTCATCTTTGAACTAACAAGAATTTTTATTAAGCAAGAAAAATTATAACTAAACTTAAACATCATAATCCACGAGAGTAATTTACTCTCCATCACATGAGGCAACTAAATTCACTCCATACAGTCATGAAAAATCACCAAATCTAATCTTGATTTGTCAAAGCATATTTATCATCCAATTAAAAAATAACATTTGCAGAACGAGGGTAAAAAATTTACACACCTAAAATTTATATGTAAATTTTGTCTAAAATATTTTTAAATGTTTGAATTCCCTCTTCTTACTCGAACCTTGTTCTTTGAAATTTGTAGTCTGACAAAAAATACGTTTCCCAAATGCACGAGATAAAAGTGAACATAATTCGCTCATGGGCTGCATTTGTGGCATAACTCAAAAAACACGCGTTTTGGACTAAGAACAGGNCGGGTGGGTGACCACTTGGATCAGTCTGCGTAGGGACCGAGGGTGTGCGGTATTGGTCCTCGTTAAACTGTGCTACCGTAAAGTGCTCGACTTCGCGTGCAGGTCGTTGGGCTACCGAAGCAGGGGTGCCATCCCCTCTGCAGAGGATCAAAATTGTGATGGCTTATCTTCGGATCATCCTCAGGGATGTTTCCCAGACCGTCGCCAATAGCCCATTGTGCAGATCTAGTGCGACGTAAATAAACTACAACAACAACATTCCATCTATGTCTTTTGAAAGTGATGTGCCTTACTTGATTCGTTTCTAGTTCGTCAAAAATTTATTATTTTCTCATTTCTTTCATAAGCTTGAAGCGTTCGTGTTATTTTTACTAGTCATTTTATCACAATTTGTAATCTTAAGTTGTGACAACTTACATAAAAATCCACAAATTGTTGTACTTATTGAATACTTTTATTAAATAACTGTGTCTGTTATCAATAAAATTTAAACAAAGAAAAAATGTAGGAATAGTAACAAAATTTTATTTTTTCATAACAATGAAAAATAAAAAAATACATTATGAAAGAAATTCTCACAACAGCATTCAATAAAATTCAGAATATCATTTCCAATGCATGTGAGTAGGGATAAGGGAACTGGCCTTGCATCAGAAAGGTTCTGGGTTCGAATCCCGGGCAAGGCATGGATATTCTTTCTTTCTCTGTACTATCTGACCTCACTGTGGGAGCAACGTTGGTCCACCTAATAGGGTGCCCCTGAAAAAGTGGTCAACAAAACTGCTCTGTAAACGACGAATGTATGACGAAGGGGGGTAATTCCCGAGGTGGGCATTTATAGTGACATTATTTTACTTCTGATATATCCTTTTGGTACTTATTCCTTCCGGAAACTTGCAAGATATTTTTATTACAATATCCCCAATTTGCACCTATATTGGTACATAAGAAACCTATTAACATTTTACGCATTAACTATCACTAGTGCATTAATAAAGCATCACATTCGAGATTTCTTACGATCTTCGAAATGAAAAAGTATCCAACCTCTAACTTCCTATAATTATGAGAGCAAAATGATAAATAAACGCATTATTCCTGAAGCTGTACACAATTTCAAAATAATTTTAAGATAATTAGCTCGAAAATAGAATCGTAGTAGAACCTGAGAGAGAAAAAAAAAAAAAGATTGTAAAAAGGGATTTAAAAGATATCTATCTTTGCTTCAAAGAATATATACTTAAACAATCTCAATATTAATTCATAGTAACCTAATCAGCTTTTCTATTCAATAATGAATAAGTAACTAATAAGAAATAAAAAAAAAATTTCTAACAAAAATTAAATAGGCGTTGTATATGTATATAAGTATTGAAAAAAAAACCTGCATTTCTTGTAAAAGTTAATATTTCAGCAATAACTTTAAGAAAACTCTGATAAATATAAACCATAAATAAAAACAATGACAAATTGGCATAATTATATGAGAATATAATAATCAGCAGCCATTTTAAAATTGTTATTATGGTATCAATACTTAGTTTCGTTTTTCTTTGCCCAGCCCAAGAGACTACGCTAAATTTTTGATGTATAGAATAAGTTTTTAAATTATAAAAATAAAATGTATTTTTAGTTCGTTTTCAAACTTTTCTACTAGAAAATTTTTTTTTAAAAAAACATCGGCAGATATTAACTTGATAAAATTGACAGGTAGAGAGAGCTATCTAATTTTCAAAATGTGATTATTTTACAAAAAAAATTTATTGGGAATATTTCCGTATCGTGATCTGTCGTGCCAAATAGATTTTAGGCTTGCAAATTAAAAAAAAAAAAAAAACTATGGATGTTTGCCCGGGGGTGCCTACGAGTTATTCCTTTCCAGTTGATCCCTTTCTATGATTTTTTTTTTTAGTTTCTCGTAGGTCACTACCCGAAAGTTGCCAAGACTTAGCGATTATTCTGCCACAGATCACGATACGGAAATCTCCCCCCCCCAATTGATTTCTTTAAACATTATATTTACGCTTAATGGATACTTTGAACAGTTAAGATTAATTTTAAAAGCAAAGAAAAAAACAAGTGCCAGAACTTAAGAGATTCCATCTGATAAAAAAAACCTCGTCCCGCAATTCTCTTTACGTAGTTAGATGGCAGGAGCTCACATGGAGTTGGCTCAACCTCCTCGGACGAGTTCATTTGTGGGCGGGAGTAAGAGGATCAACATCTCCGTGCTTAAAATTAAGACAACCCTAAATAATAATTAACAGTGAATTCTTTTTCAGTCACTTATTTCGCATTATCACCTGAAATTATACCTTTCATTACTCTAGCGAATTAAATATATTTTAAATAAAGTATCTCTCTGGCTCTCCCTTACAAACAAATACAATAAACTGTGTTTTTAAGTTCCACCTTTGAAAATTTGATTTCCGGAAACTTCTGTGATCAATGATTTTTTGAAACTTCTGGACCTTCCATCTCAGGAAACTTCCGGATCATTGTTAGCGAAAATTCCAGAAATTCGGATTTTTTCCGGAGCACAATCAGCACTGAAAAGTACCTCAAGTTTGAATAGAGTTTACATATCTTATATACCAGCGATTTGGTACTTAATATTTGTTGTGGTAGTTAATTATGCCGCAGTACTCCACTTCCAAAATTTTAACTGTGATAGAATTCGATGAATGGATACCACTAGTTGATTCATGCTATTTTTTTTTATTTATGTCATATTTTTACTTCGTAGCATTTCGCTCATTTTTTTCCTTTATTTTTGTGATAACAGCATTTTTGTTGTTATTATTCTTAATTTTTGTTTAATAACCGGGAGACTTTATTTACTTCACCGGATTTCGCTCATTTTTTTTCCTTTCTTCAATAATGTTTATTGACCGAGAGACTTCATATACTTCACCGGATTTTTTTTTTTTTTTGAAGCAATTTATTTTTAAGCAAATCTACTGTTTAATGTGGATCATCCGTTAATATTTTCATCACATCCGCAGGTGGTCACCATTGCGGGGATTTAATTTTTTACTGTGTCAACCTTCATCTATCAAAAGGTACCTCTGTAGTGGCAGTTAAGCCTCACTCTATCAACAAATCTAATCATTATTTGACTGTTAAATACATTCCTTTTGGGTTGTAAATGCGTTT